GAAGCTGAATCCTCCCTCAAGATTAGGGCACCAGGTGCGTAACCAAGACGAACCATGAGGCCTTGAGCGTAACGAACGTTGTTGGAGCCCAGGTGAATGACCGATCTACCATATTTGATTGAACCTCCCAGTGGCGTCTTTGAAAGAGCTGGACTTCGCCTGTTTGAATGAGTGCAGGAGATGTAGAGGCACGTGCTGCTTGTTCAACCTCTTGACCGTTTGAGAAGCGGTTGTAGAATTCTTGGAGGTTTCGTAATTCAGGGGCTTGAGGTACCGAGTCTTGCTTCAATAGACCCCAGAGTATCTTGATGTGGACAAACAGAGCATTCTAAGAAGTTGCATCTGTGAGCTGGTGTTTTTGACCGCTGTGGTGGCGGGAGCGCGCCTTGGCCAAAGCTTTGGCCGGTTTGTTTGGGGCATGCGGAATGCTCGCGGCGCTGATGCGGAAAGCACGCGGAGCTGACGCTATACAAGCAGGCTGAGGAAAGCGGCGGTACATTAGTGGAAAGTCTAGCTTTCCGAGGCGCGGGAAAGCGGAGAAAGGTAGACCGAATGCACAAGGTTCTGAAAAGCTTACTGCGGGGAATTCGGGCATCGGCGGACGCCGGGGATCACGGCCGGCTGCGGAACGGGGGTTCAGTGTATACTGCGGAGAGGCTACAAAGAGCGGGGAGCACCAAGGGGCAGAAGCGGGGTTCGGAGCGGACCAGAGGCGGAAGCGGCGGTGGTAGACCTGCTTAGGAGCGGCCGGAGGAGTACTTGGACCGACAGGCGTCGGAGGGGTGACATGCGGAGTCTGAGGGGGTGACAGCGGATGACATCGCGGGAAGTAGGAAGGGACTGGAGTGTGGGATACCTAGGAGGAGGGGAGTTCGAGGCAGAAGAGGGGAGAGAGAGGAGGGGGGACTTAGGACTCGGAACATATCAGAGAAACAGAGTGACTTAGGAGTGAATCGTGTATTAGCCTAAAGAATTGTTAGAGATAGAATAGAGTTAGAGTATTACCTACAAAAGATCAATAAAAGAGAACTAGTTTACCTACCTACAAGACCATCAAGCAAGTTACCCCGGACAACAAAACCGGAGTAGGACGCGTTGCGGAGCGGAGAAGTGCAAGAAAACTCCGAGGGCGCGCCTTACTTTCCACACCGCATAGACAAGATTTTCACAAAATGGCTCACCTTTGTTGTTGTAAATTCCGTGGGAAAATCGGTGGTTTGCATCTGTTGAGGGTGGCGTTTGGGGGAGTTCTGTTTCACTGGCTTGGATTTCTTGGAGGTGCTAGCCTTAGGTTTGCTGGCTTCCGGGGGAGCTGAGGCCGCACGAACTGCTCGTTTAGGGGTAACATTCAACGGATCTTTTTGTGGTGCTGGCAAGGAGTTCTTGTGGATGCTGGAATTTTGTGCGGCCGTCGGGAGTTTGCTCTTCACAGCAGGTTGTTTACCAGTGGATTTTCTAGCCGATTTTGGTTGATTTTGAGGTTTGGGGGTATCGGTGTTGGCAGAAGCTTTCAAGGAATTGACTTGTGCGGTGAGTTGGGCGACCATGGACTCAAAGTGACCCGTTCGAGCCTGCACAGCTGCATCAACTAATTGTTGCTGCTCAGCTGTGAGGGTGGCTGCCGAATTTCGAGGGGCCCACGGATCCATGTTATAGAATGTATACAGGTCGAGATAGGGATTGGCTGTCCGAATTGATGGGGAAAATTGAATTACAGCAAATTTTAATCAGTTGCGGTGTGGTGATGTAGGGAGAGGTTTGTGCAAAACAGCTTGAAAATGTGGACGTACTATTTATGGATAGATAGATGGGAGCAGGTGGGTGGACTTGGTGGATGGTATTGAACTGAGCAAAAGTTTAGTTGTTCTTGGTCGGGTTAGGAAGGGAAGAGAGGTGGGTGAAAGAGGGCCTTTAAATAGTCAAGTCGTGCTTGACATCTTGAACACCTGTTCTTTTGAGAGCCTGTCAGTCTACTTCAGGGCTTTGATCAGCAGCAGTGAGTAACATGGAAAGGTGTTTGATCAGCGGTGGTGAGTAACTTACAAACGTAAATGTGATGAGTCCTCATGAGATGATCTCAATTGCGGAGTGCTGGCTTTGTGGTTTGTGTGCAGTTTGTTTCTGACATCGTGGAAATAAATTATGGGTTGGTTGTTTGTATTCATAGTCACAAGTTA